ACGTTGAAAAAAAAAAAAAGAAAAAAAAATTTTAAAAATAAAGAGACTACCATAACCTAGTATAGGACTAATGTCTGCATGTATTTTTAGATGCTCACAAATCAGTTAAAAAAAAAATAAAGACATCAACCGCTTATTCCATTTGCATGAACAGACTGTTCACAGAAGAAGAGACTTGAATGTCGAGAGCACATTGAGAAATGTAGCTTCTCAACCTCATCAGCCATCAGGGACTACAGATACCATTTCATAATCATCAGATGGGCACAATGGAAAAGTCTGCCAGTACAAAGTTTGGTGTGGATGAGAATCATCAGGGGCCACTCATACTTTCTTGGTGGTGTAGACATCGGTGTGATTTACCAATTTTAAATTAAAGAAAAAAAATTGATATAAACATGGATACACGTTAAATTTTACATATGGATAAAATCTCAAAAGAGTTAACAGAATGTCTTGGACAAATTTTTACGGCAATACATTTTGTTTTGCTTCATATTATGAATAGCATCATAATATTCCAAAACATGGATACACCGTAATTTTATTTTACCACTTTTTTATTGATGCACATTTAGGCTGCAATTACCATCCCTATGCCCGACTTGTGTTCACATGTTACTATTTCTATAAGACGAATTCTGAAGACTTTAATTTCTCTTTCTTTTTTTTTTTTTTTTAATTTTTTTTTTCAACGTTTATTTTTGGGACAGAGAGAGACAGAGCATGAACGGGGGAGGGGCAGAGAGAGAGGGAGACACAGAATCGGAAACAGGCTCCAGGCTCTGAGCCATCAGCCCAGAGCCTGACGCGGGGCTCGAACTCCCAGACCGCGAGATCGTGACCTGGCTGAAGTCGGACACTTAACCAACTGCGCCACCCAGGCGCCCCTTAAATTTCTCTTTCAAGGGGTAAGCAGGATACTGTCAAAATGCCTTCCACAAAGCTTTGACCAACTTACAGTGCCACGAATGGTACATGATAATCCAGTTTGCGGCATCCAAAGCCAATATTTAGTGTCAATCTCCTTCATCTTGATTAAACGGGTCCATAAAAAACCTATTGTTGCTATGTGATATCACAGTTCCTTGATTACCAATAAGATTTAACATTCTTCATGTTTATCAGCTATCAATGTATCATCCCCCCTGAATTGCATATTCCTATCACTTATACACTTTTTATTGGTTGTATCTTTTCTTACGGATTTGTGGGAGACATACATATATGTTTCAACAGCTGTATGCATTGCAATATCTTCTTGATGGCTTGCCTCTTAGTTTTATAGGTGTCATGTTACATGGAAAGATTACACTTTTGTCAAATTTATGAAACTTGGCTTTACTGTTTATATTTTTTGTTTTGCTCAAGGCGTGTTTTCCTATCGTGAAGTTATACATATTAGTCTCCTATACTTGCTTGCGAAGGCTTTGAAGTTTTGTTTTTCGCATTTACATTATTAATCCAACTGGAACTGATTTTGCATAGGATAGTGACATACACATAGCAGGAATCTAATGATACATTTTTTTTCCCCTGGTAGGTGACCAAATATCTCAGTATCACTTATTGAAAAATCTCTCCTTTCCCTACTGATCCACAGTGCTATTTTGCCCGACATCAAGCTTTTGCACACGCACGAGGACGTAATTGGACTATGTATTCTCTTCCATTGGTTAATTTATCTTTCGTTGCACGTAACACCAGCTGTATTACTCTCTCTGTCTTTATAATAATTGTTCATATCTGACCAGATATAAACCAACGAGGCCCTTAATGTTAGTCTTCTTTTTCAGGCTTGTCTTGGCTATTTTGGAGTCTCTGCTTTTCCATACACATTTTATGGTCAGCTTATCAAGTTTCTTGGAGATTCTGTTGGAGTTTTGACCAGAACTACATTGAACATACCGTTCTTTTTGGGGAGAACGGATGTATTTTTGGTGTTGGATCTTATTATACCTGAATATGTATCTTTCTCATTTGATTCAAACTTCTTTATTTTTCTGTCATTTGATGTTTTCTCTCTGTAAATGCTTTGTACATATTTCACTTGATATATTCCTAGGTACATTACGTTTCTTTACAAAAAGTATCACTTAAATATTACATCTCTAATTGTTTTTGATATCTGGTTTTAGTTATAGCTTCTTTTCAACACCACACCATAGACATTGTTGTTATTATTTCATGGATTCTAGAGACCATGTTTGTTTATCCACATATCTCCAATCTCTTTCCCTCCATTCCTCCTTACATCTCAGAGCTTGCTTCTGGAGTCATTTTCCTCCTGATGCACACACCCTTTGCAAGTTCCTTTAGTGAAAATCTAGAGGAAGTCAATTCTCTGTTTTATTTTCTCTGAAATGACATTCTTTCTCCCTTGTTCTTGCAAGTTCGTTGTGCTGGGCAAAGTAGCGTGTTTTCGGTCATTGTCCCGCTGTTGCTAGCAGTTGACTTCTTATTCTAAGTGCCTTTTTCCCCCCTCGCTGATTTTGAGTCTTTGCCTTCGTCTTTGGTGTCTATAAGGTGTGTTACTGCCCTCGTATAGAGCTTTCAGCGTCCGAGGTCACATCTTTCATTACTTCTGAAAATACACAGAATTCTCTGGGACTCTACGTCTGTGTTAGAGTACGTATTAATATCTCTTTACCTCATGTCTGCATAGACACAATAATCTCTTCAGATCCCTCTGCGTGTCTGTATAGTTGTCTATTTAACCCATGCACCAAGTTAATTTCAACTGTTACACTTTTAGTTTCTAGAATTTCATGTCATTTAAAATTTCTTTTTCAGGGGCGCCTGGGTGGCTCAGCCAGTTAAGCATCCGACTTCAGCTCAGGTCATGATCTCATGGGTCATGAGTTCAAGCCTTGCATTGGGCTCTGTGCTGACGGCTCAGAGCCTGGAGCCTGCTTCAGATTCTGTGTCTCCCTCTCTCTCTGCCCCTCTCCTGCTCACACTCTGACTCTCTCTCTCCCAAAAATAAATAAACATTAAAAAATAAATAAATAGGGGCCCCTGGGTGGCTCAGTCAGTTGAGCAGTCGACTTTGGCTCAGGTCATGATCTCACGGTTCTGTTCATGGGTTTGAGCCCCACGTTGGGCGCTGTGTTGACAGCTCAGAGCCTGGAGCCTGCTTCGGATTCTGTGTCTCCCTCTCTCTCTCTCTACCCCTTGCCCACTCACACTCTGTCTCTCTCTCTCTCTCAAAAATAAACATTAAAAAAATTTTTTTAATAAATGAAAATAAAATTTCTTTTTCATATGTGCCCACTCATATTCGATGGTCTTTTATTTCTTAACCATTTTTAAAATTAATATATTTTATTACTTTAAACACTGAAAATAGGTATTTCATATTCTGTAAAGTTCTAATATCTTGGATCCTTGGAGGCTTGTACCTGTTGACTGATTTTGCTGACTTTAACTCTTGATGGCTCATTTCCACACGTATTTGGACATTTCTTTCAACTGTGAGATAATGTTCAATTTAACTTAATTTTTTCGGAGTCTTCAAAGTCTAAATTGAGGATGTTTCTCTCAAAAACGCTTGGTTAGCTAGAAAAAAGGTATTTACTGCCCAGGGACACGTAGCCCACTCTTGGGTACAGATTTGAGGAATGTCAGGTTCAGCTTCCCTACTTTGTGGTGAATTCAAATCTTTTTGTACCACATCTGTTACCACTCACTAGTTTGGTTTTATTTCTTTATAAAACTTTGTATCTTTTGAGGTATTTCTTAATTTTTCATGTGCATTCAAATCTCATGAACACTGACATCTTGATGCATTAAAATGGAAAACTTTGGGTCCTGGTCCCTTTTTACTGGTAGTTTAGAATCACCTTCTTCAATTTCTTTGATGATTACTAGTCTGTTTAGGCTTCCTGCCTTTTATGGAGTCTATATTGGTAATTTATCTACACCTGGGAAATTTTACTTAGGCATACAACAAATGTTTGTTAAATCAGTACTATACGCACTGATGAGCGTAACAACAGATTTATACCATCTGAAGGAAATAAGAGATAAGCTGAGTGGACCGCCAGTGGATGGGGTTTAAAAATCCTGAGATTAGGCAATGATTCTCACACTGGCCACGGATCACTGAGGAGAAGTTGCTCGAAATACGTCTGGTCTCTAGGAAGCTAGAGTATAAAGCATTTCCCTGCATAGTGTGCCTGGGACTAAAGAAGCCTTTTTTGGAAGAACCCACTTCTATGTCCTTAGTAATTCACAGGACCTATGACTACGGACTGTAGAGACATTGCCAGCTACCCCTCAGCAATGTGTAACTCCCACTGGAATTAAGTAGTGACTTGAGGATTTTAGCAAACGGGCTGAATTCAGACGACATCACATGCCTGAAGAGCCAGAAGGAGAAATGCGAAGAATTTTATGTATGCCCGAGGGTGTGGTGTGGTGTGTGTGTGTTGACGGTAAAACTCTCACCTGGCCTCTATTGACTACCATTTTAAAGGCTTAAAGGTGTATTCTTCCTAAAAGGGCTTCAGCATTTGCTCACCATTTTAGCAGCTCTTGAATTTCCACTGGGATCTCATCGTAATATTTGTCTAGATTACTTTTTAAGAAGAACAAGGAGGTAAGATGAGTCAGACACGGGGGGCTATTTAAAGAATTCTCTTTCCAAAAAGTAGGATGCGTGAAAGTGTTCTCAAACTGGAGTTTTTTCAGGTTAAGCTTCAAAATCGCAGGTGGAAAAGCAGTCAGATCGGTCCCGTTAACATTCAGATTTTCAAGTAATCTGTAAATAAAGGAAACCAAATTTAAAAGGTGTTTATGCAACTCATAATACTGAAATAAAAATCCGTCCCAATGTTCCGGAAAATTAGCATCAAACTTAGCAATAACATACAAGTGTTTAAGAACTTCTTTAGAATCAGAGAATTAAAAAGCAATTGAAACAGTATGTTATGCCAATAAGTGCGTTTGTGTGAATAGCAAGAGTTAAAGCATATGTTTTGGGTCTTTGCAACATGTCACTACGGAAAAAGAAATACTATAGCATAATGATACAAAGAAAGGATACATATTTGTTGAGCAATTGAACACCAGTAGCTATTTTTTCATCCAAACCTCATCAAAACGGTGGAATTAACACGATCATATGTATCATGTGCTATGTTGCACACGGACTTTTCATCACCCGAGTCCCCCTGGTTTTTACTGTGTCCGTTGCTTCTGATAGCCCTGATTTCTTTGTTCAAAGAGAACCAACCTTACTGATTTTCTCATTTATACTACTTGTCTTGATGGTGTATTTTACAGCCACTCATCTCCTTTCGAATTAGTGCTGGAGACAGGCAGAAAAGTATCTGTTTATGAGGGTCACATAAACACAAATCAAAGGCTGGTCCAACTTGTCAAGCGTGCTGGGAGTGAAGAGGTTGAAATGACGACTTTTGAAGCGAGAGGCTGGGAGCTCTGGAGTCTGTCTCATGTGCTCATGTGCAGCCTTGTTTCTTGTCCACACAAACTCTTCAGTTCTGACTCCTGACAATACTAAAACATGATGGGGGCGCCTGGGTGGCTCAGCCAGTTGAGCATCTGACTCTTGATTTCGGCTCAGGCCATGATCTCACGGTTGGTGGGTTTGAGCCCCACATCCGGCTCCGCGCTGACAGCACGGAGCCTGCTTGGGATTCTGTCTCCCTCTTTGCCCCTCCCCCGCTTGCTCTCTCTTTCTCTCTTTCAAAAATAAATAGATAAACATTTTTTAAAAATAGTATTAAAATAGTAAAGAAAAATGTTTGCGTGTGTTTGGGGGGAAAAGATAGCCATTAATAGACTGGGAAAGTACAGTAGGGTTTCAAAATTAATAAGGGAGAAAAAAAGAAAAAGTAGCATCTTGAAAAAATCACACACACATACACACACAGAAAGAAGGCAAATAGGAAAAGGAAGAAGTAAATAAATAGTAAATACAAAGTAAAATGGAAGGCAAAAATTTAAATATATCAGTCCTAACAAAGGCGAACAGGTTGAATACTCCTGTTAAAATATAAAGATTGTGGGGCGCCTGGGTGGCGCAGTCGGTTAAGCGTCCGACTTCAGCCAGGTCACGATCTCGCGGTCCGTGAGTTCGAGCCCCGCGTTGGGCTCTGGGCTGATGGCTCAGAGCCTGGACCCTGTTTCCGATTCTGTGTCTCCCTCTCTCTCTGCCCCTCCCCCGTTCATGCTCTGTCTCTCTCTGTCCCAAAAATAAATAAACGTTGAAAAAAAAAATTAAAAAAAAATTATTCTAAAGTCGTAAGTAAAATAGGATGGCACTGACCTAGAAGGACATAGATGAACTTCAGAGACTTTTAAAAATCAGTGTGAGAAAGAAACAGAGCTTGGTATTATTAAGATTACATGATGTATGTGTATATCCTTACCCAAAATAAGTTAAGACTGATAAGAACACAGGTTCACACACAGAAAAATGAACAAGGTTCTCTCGTCATTCTATTACGTAGCCATCAGGACAGCTTTTAAACAATCACTGAAAATGTTATGTCTTAAAATGTTATGTCTTAAAAATAGCAATCATTCAAATTCTGTTTTTGTAAACTTTATGCTTTCACATATTATGTTTTATGACCATTCAATATATGAAAGAATTCAATTTTCTCCAACACAGTCATTACCAAATATACCCTTATAGGGCATATGACTGTGTGTACTTACTACTTCCCAAATACCTGAGTTTCTGGATTTTGTTTGGGATAGAAGCAACACTATTGTAGGAGATATCAAGTTCCTCAAGATGGGCCAAAGAAAATAACCTTAAATAGAAAAAAGAAAATGAAATTAAAAATGACTACATGTTTATCATTACTGGGCATGAATGAAGAATTAAATATTTGAGTAAAGAGGTAAAAGTATTAGAGAAACTGTATTTTTCTAAGATCTTATAATTTATGGACTTCTTTTCATTATAGGCAGTGTAATTACAATCCAAGTTCCTCAAATAAACCATTTATCCTTTAAGACTGCCTCGAAATGTTTGGAGTGGATAAAGCTCCACGCAGAAAAAGCCACCTGAGAAATTTCTAGCACACTCCGATATATTATTTCCTTGGTTGCTGTATTAGTTTCCTAGGGCTGACATAACAAATGACCACAGCCAGGTGGCGTGGAGCAAGGGACATTTACACTCTCACAGTCCGGGATGCCAGCGGTCTGAAATCAGGGTGTTAGTGGAGCCGGTTCTTTTTCGGAGGCTGTGAGGACCCTCCAGGTAGGCTTTGGGATGGAGAAGACAAGAACCAAGAAAGAAAGAGGCAAAAAAAAAAAAAAAAAAAAAAAAAAAAAAGGAAAGGAGACATTTTGGTGATGTCATTACCCCTTAAACAAACAATGAAAACGTATTTCATGAACAAATGCTATCTCAAGGCTTTGGGGAAAAGAAGACACCTTTTGGGTTTTTGAAATGATTTATCATCTTTATTTTACAAGAAAACTAAACAGACCCATCAAAGGGCTTTCCGTGGTTACAAGACTTCAAACACTTAACCTGAGAGAGTTGATGACAGCTTTACGTTGTATGATCAAGGGCATAACTCTAACTGTAGGGGGCCTAACGGCAAGGGCATAGCTAGGATGAGAACCCCGTTCTTTGTGCCTCCGGAGCCGAGACTTTCCTCTCTGCTTTTGCTTTACAACAGATGCCCTAAGCAGCTCAACACAAAATCGTAGCAACAAAAAATTGGGACTCAGGGAATTTGTGCTGTGCTGTCAATCTTCCCCTAATACACATACAGAACCTGTTATCTAATAAAATATATACAGCTTTATTTTAGAAACACTAGTATTATTGAGAAATAGCTCCTTAAAACTTTTTGACGGTAACCAATGGTTAACCAATAGTCCAAACTAATTTGCTTAATCTCTAAATAGTGAATAATGTTGACCCCCTACTTACAAACAAGTTGTAGTTGCTTTAGGAATTTTTATATTCCTGGGCGCCTGGGTGGCCCAGTCAGTTAAGGGTAGGACTTGGGCTCAGGTCATGATCTCATGGATAGTGAGTTCGAGCCCCGCATCAGGCTCTGTGCTGACAGCTTAGATTCTGTGTCTCCCTCTCTGTCTGCTTCTCCCCTACATGTGCCCCCCTCCGTCTTTCTCTCCCTCTCTCTCTGTCTCTAAATTAACATTAAAAAAAAGAATTTTTGCATTTTGCTTATTTAAAATTTTTTTTTAATGTTTATTTACTTTTGAGAGACAGAGTGTGAGTGGGAGAGGGGCAGAGAGAGAGGGGGACACAGAATCTGAAACAGGCTCCAGGCTCTGAGCTGTGAGCACAGAGCCTGACGTGGGGCTCAAACTCACGCAAAACGGTGAGACTATGACCTGAGCCGAAGTCAGACGCCCAACCAAATGAGCCACCCAGGCGCCCCTACGTTTTGTTTAAATGACAGTTATGGTTATTAAAGCTTGGAATTCTAATTATAGATTATCAAATGTAAGTTTATATTTAGATGCATATATAGGTACATACACATACATATATATGTCTTTATATGTACATATATATATGTAGTTTGTGTGTGTGTGTGTATATGTGTGTGTGTGTATACATATGCAGGGTTATGTGTGTGTATATATATATGTATATATGTACACACAGATTAGTGTACACACATATATTACTTAGCTCTGTTCACCGGGACTGTCTAGAAGCAATGTCATCACCATAGCAATGGGACATCCAGCACTCAGATCTCAGTTTTTAAACACCATCTTTCAATAAAAAAGAAACAGGGTTTCCCTAGAGAAATAGCTGCTTCTAGTATCAAGGCAGAGAAAATACAATTTATGTTACTGTTAAAAAATATAGATGATTTAAACAGAAATAAAATATACACAAGGCAGTATTCTTACTTTCTTAGTGTTTATGTTTTTATATACGTGTAATGTATGATGCGCATATACACATTTTTATACAGAAATGGTATAACTTCTATATGCTTTTTGTTCTTTTAAATGACTGAATAGTGGTACAGTTTATGAATATAGAATTTGTCAGATTGTTAGTTACAAACAATGCTAGGTGAACAAGCTTATAAATGAATTTTGATGCGGTTCCTTAATTGCTGTGAGAATCTTTACAAAATGTTGTTCAACTATTTAAGAGCCCCTGTCCCTTTGCCCTTTACCCACGTTCAATTTGTTAAACTCTAACTCGAAGAAGTATCTTGTTTTGCGTTTGGTTACGGTTTTGGTTTAAAATTTTCATTAGGGGTTAAATAATTCCCTGTCCATATGTGGGGGAGGGGGAGGGGGGAGGAAACCCATCTCTCTCATACCCAAATATCAACATTCCTATTACAGAATCTTCGGTATTATACTAGCTAATTTCTTAGTTTACAGATTAGGAAATTGAGACCAGGAAGCTTAAGTGACTTTCTCCAGACAAAACAGGTCATTATCAATTTTGAAGTTAAAAGTCTAGATTTCCTAATGCCACATACAGTGTCCTTTCCAAAAAGGCTGTCGAGGGATAGGTGCAAATTTCTCACTTGAGCCTCTTTATATGATATGTATTCTTTTAATCTATACTCAGATAATGGATCTGTAGATGAACGCTCTAGCCTCCGTAAGAGTTGGCATCTATGTAGCTGGTAAAATTCCTTTTAACACAATAACAAGAAGCAAATCAGTGAATCAGAACAGAATGCGAATTATTCGATGGCTAAAAAGTTGCCAGCTGCTTTCAAACGGGAAATTGATCGCTTTCTAAATAGTAAATTCTTTTCTGTGTTTATAATCTCAGGCTACCGACCTTACCCAGGTGGAAGGGTAGTGATCAAATTAAAGGCGATGCTGAAAACTCTAAGGAACTTAAGCTGTTGGATTTCAGAAGGGATTTCTTTGATAGGATTATTTCTCAGGAATAGTAGTTGTAAATTTTTAAGACAAAATATCTGAGGAATAGAAAAGAGAAACAAATATGAGTGGCATGATAAAGTGTACAAGTCTCTGTTTGTTACATTTTGTAAGCCCTTTGAACAACCATAGAATCAGCAAAAGAACATTAACTGGCTGTATTATTTATCTCTTTTTTCACTCTTTTCCGGGGTATCATAAGTGGCGATTTTTTGGTTATAATTATTATTAATAAGACATTATTCTTGAAAAGACAGTAACATCAAAATCAAAATTAAAATTAAAAGAAATTATTGCAATATACACCAATGATAAAAATGGACTCACTTCTGTGGGAAAAGAACTGATCTCATTAAAGGATAAGTTAAGATATATCAATTGGGAAGCCAACGGTGTTAAGTCTGGACAAGTCATGATAAAAAAACCCTAAAAGAAAATGACAAGAGATTAGAGGTTAATCATTAACAAGGCACAAAAGTATTTTATACTAAAGTAAAACAAGCAAAACAACGAGCACATAATCTGAGTGATGGTGTTTTTCACAACACACAAACGAGCCTCTATTCACCTTCCATTCATGTATTTTAGTCTGTCATAATAATAATTTCTTAATTATGTGAAGGATAGAAACGAAATAGAAACACCGCTAAGTATTCGTGTGTGTAAGAAGTATAGTGTTACAAGTGTGACAGGAATTATTTTCATTAATAACAAGCAAACATTGCTTGAGTGTCCACTACATGCTGAAAAGTTAGTAAAAATATTTTACATTCAATGATGTCTTTTAGCTTATTTTGTCATGTTTCTACTTCTATTTCTCTCTAGTCTCGCTGTTAATCTAACAGCTAAAATTTCTTACTGAAATATGCCAACTCGGAATGAAGAAAACTATGTCCCGTTATGAACTAAATGTTTGTGTTCCCGCCATATTCACACGTGAAAGCCCCAACCCTCAGTGTGATGCCATGTAGAGATGAGGCCTGTGTGAGGTAATTAGGGTTCCACAAGGTCTTAAGGGTGGAGCCCTTATAATGGGGTTAGTGCCCTTATAAGAACAGGAGGGGACCAGAGCTCTCTCTTTCTACCATGTGAGGATACAGGAAGAAGTCTGCTGTGAGCAAGAGACCTCGAACCAGGAAGCGAGTCAGCTGACCCCTCAATGCTGGACTTCCCAGCCGCCGGAACTGTGAGAAATGAACATTCGTTGTTGAAGTCGTTCAGTCTGTGGCATTTTGTCAAAGCAGCCGGAACTAAGACACGCCTGCTGCCCCCCTATATCTTTAATGCTCCAGGAGAGTGGAAACATTTGTTTCTTAAGGATCATAGACTCACTAATGGTCACCTGACTGAACCAAGGGACTCCATTACTCAGCTCGTAGAGAAGGGAGACGTCGCCATAGTGCATCAGGCTACGCCAGGTAGCGTATAAGAATGAAAAGGTTCACGGCTAAAGAATCTTGAAGTTGAAAGTGCAGGTTTCAGAACTGAGATTTTACTTGTTTGTTTGTTTACGTTTTTATTTTTTTACTGAGAAAGCACGAGCTGGGGAGGGGCAGAGAGAGAAAGCAAGAGAAGCTCAAGCAGGCTCCATTCCCAGCACAGGGCCCATGGAGGGGCTTGATCTCACAACTGTGAGACCACGACCTGCCAAAATCAAGTGTCGGACGCTTAACTGACTGAGCCACCCCAGGCTCCCTGAGACTGACCTTGTATTAAAGTATTACTATTGGTAAACGTGTATATAGACAAAAAGGAGGCATTCTTTTTTTCCTGTCATTAGACACTCCTCTCTGCCGAACTGGCGGGTACACTTATGTAGTAGAAACGTGTCTGTCATAGTCTCCAATCATTCCACTTACTGTGCCAACAATTAGCACCTTTACATTTCCTTCTGCCTTGGAAAGTGCTTCCCCCGTTTCCTCCCATGAACGTCTTCTCACTTCATTAGTGGCCTGCGTATAGTCAGCCGTCAGCTCACAAGGCCGCTGACCAGAAAGGCCTTCCCTAACCAACCTGTGATAAATAGTGACCTCCCAAACCTGTTTGCTGTGGTTATCATGGAAGGGTCTCGAAGAACTACATAGCGCTGAGAATGTGGAGCCTTTCCCCATCTCCCGAACTGCTCTAGTGACCTTTAAGTGCTTAGACCCTGAGTCCGTATCATACTATTCAGTGCACTTGTTCTGTGTAAATTTTGTTCATATAAGATCTACTTCTTTTAATAAGGCCCTGAAATAAATAAGGAATTATGACGTTTGATTCGTCTGTGTCGCCCCCACAGAACTCTGGATTCTACTCTGGAGTCAAATATTTTTTTTAAATAATATTTATAGCCGTGGAAATATTTTTTTTTCTTGATTAGCTTCACCCAACTCTTTAAAAGCTACATTCTCTCTCCATTTGAAGCAAGGATGAGCAAACCACACTTTGCCACTGTTTTTTTCTAAATAAAGTTTTATTGGAACATAGCCGTGCCCATAAGTTTAAGCATTGCATATAGCTGCTTTTGAACTATCGAACAGAGTTGAATACTTGTGACAGAGACCATGCAACCCTCAAAGCCTAACGTTTTACCATCCAGCCCTTTACAGAAAAAGCTTGCCAACCTCTCATTTAAAGTAATTCACTCCAGGGGCGCCTGGGTGGCTCAGTCGGTTAAGCGTCTGACTTCAGCTCAGGTCACGATCTCGCGGTCCGTGAGTTCGAGCCCCGCATCGGGCTCTGGGCTGATGGCTCAGAGCCTGGAGCCTGCTTCCAATTCTGTGTCTCCCTCTCTCTCTGCCCCTCCCCCGTTCATGCTCTGTCTCTCTCTGTCTCAAACATAAATAAAAACTAAAAAAAAAAAAAAAAAAAATTATAAAGTAATTCGCTCCGGGGACACCTGAGTGGCTCAGTTGGTGAAGTGTCTGGCTCTTCATCTGGGCTCAGGTCCAAATCTCACCGTTCATGAGTTTGAGCCCCATATCCGGCTCTGTGCTGACAGTGCAGAGCCTGCTTGATATTCTCTCTCTCTCTCCCTCTTTCTCTGTCCCTCCCCCACTCATGCTGTCTCTGTCCCTCTCAAAAATAAATAAACTATAAAAAAAATTTTAAAAATAAGATTTAAAAAAAAACAAAGTAATTCACTTCAAAACCAGATAATCTGATATTTTTACTTCTAATGGTTGACAATCTTATTTCAAAACAACCTTCCCACTGAAACCGACAGGGTAAACAAACACAACACAATAAAGGCTTGGGGAATTACCAAGCGTAGCTAGGATTTCATAAACCAAACTTCCAGAGAGGAGAGAATCTCAGGGAGGTAAACACAACGCTCAACACTACTTTTCTCCCGAAGTCATTTGCTTCATCAAAAGCTGTGGTCAAGAGGCTGAATAGAATCATAGCCAGCCTAATTAGGGCTAGAAAGATAAAAACTGGAGTTCAGGGCTTACCAAAGTCGAGGGGGGCCTCCGACTTGGTATGAAAGGGACGAAAGGCTACAAACTTAGGAGAAAAGGTTAACAGGAAAGCTCTATAAGATTGAAGCTCAGATTAAAATAAAGAGCTTTTGAAGCTTCTGGTCCAAGGTGGCAGTGTAGAAAGTCCCTGAACTCACCTCCTCCATGCACACACCCAATCTACATACACCTACTCAGAGAGCAATTCCTCCTGAAGAAGAACCGAGGGCTGACTGAACAGCTTCTGCACAACAAAAGATAGAGAGACCATGTAGAGAACGTCAAAGGAGACGGAAATACCGTGAGGAAGGCAACCCGAGCCCTCCACGCACTGCAGTGGGATAGTACTGAGGGACCAGGAGCAGATTCATCTGCTCTGAGGCACAGAGGAAAAGCCTGGGTTTAAGTGAGCAACTGGAACAAAAAGGAACCAGCACAAGGACCCTGGCAAACCGGGGGAGAGCCGCTGGAGCTCTGGAACTCTCTCTGAGTTTGTGGGGTTGGTAAGCGCCATGGTTGATGCTCCCCCTCCACCTCCGTAGCGCGGAGGGGAGCAGGCCCCGCTGGCAGCCCCAGGCCCCTAGCTCACACCAGCCCCAGGCTCCCGGGGACACAGAGAAAAAGCCGCGGTTTAAAAGAGCAGCTAGAATAGAAAAGATTTAGCCCTAGAACGCTGCCAAATGGAGGGGGGCTGCTGGAACTCTTTCTGGGTCGGAGGGGCTGGTGAACACCACGTTTAACATTTCCCGGCTGCCTTCACAGTGCAGGAAGAAGCAGAGTCTGGGCACCATAGCCGCTGTGCTGTCTCAGCGAGCCCCCGTTCCCTAGCCCACACCAGCTCTAGTCACCCCTCCAAGATGGCCCCAGGATGGCACACACCAGGACACTCCCAGTCAGTGCTACAGATTCAGCCATCAAGCCAAGGTGACAAGGGGGCAAAGCTCTCCAGAATAATCCAGGCCTGCCCCCACGTCAGCTCCAGATAGCTTGTCAGGGCACCCCTAGTGCAGAGGGCTTTGGGACTTTCTGGCTCATGCCTGCTTTGGCCCCAGCATCCCACCAGGGCCTCTCCCGTGAAAACCACCCCAGGGAACCCCCAGCTTGCACCCTGTATCGGCTCCAGCCACCCCACAAGGGTGACCCTGTGCAGAGCGTCCCAGGACGACCTGACTTGCACACACTTAAGCTTCAGCTGTCCTGCCAATATGTCCTCTGCACGGAGAACCCTGAGACCCCCCCCCCCCCCCCCCCCCCCCCCCCCCCCCCCCCCCCCCGCGCCCTCCCGCCCCCCGCCGGGCCCATACCCACTTCAGCTCCAGCCACCCCACCAGGGCAGCCCCAGCACCAGCTAGAACGATCTTTACAATTATGAAAGGTTTCTTTCAACTCCAGTTTACTTAGAGGTATATTTGTTTTCCTTCATCCTCAGTGGGTGTTGAATGTTGTCAAGTTTTTGCATCTATTGAGATGATATTGTTGAGAATAACATTGATTTTCAAATATCAAGACAACTTTGAGTTTCTTGCAAAAGCTTCATTTAGTCATGATACATTGTCCTTCGTTTTAAAACTTTTCACATTGCAGGATTTGAATTCCTAATATTTTCTTGAGAAATTTTGCACATACATTTATGAAAAACAGTGGCCCATAATCTTTTTTTTTTAATTTTTTTTTTCAACGTTTATTTATTTTTGGGACAGAGAGAGACAGAGCATGAACGGGGGAGGGGCAGAGAGAGAGGGAGACACAGAATCTGAAACAGGCTCCAGGCTCCGAGCCATCAGCCCAGAGCCTGACGCGGGGCTGGAACTCACGGACCGCGAGATCGTGACCTGGCTGAAGTCGGACGCTTAACCGACTGCGCCACCCAGGCGCCCCCATAATTTTTCTTTCTTACAATGTCCTTGTGTGGCTTTGGTATAAGAGTTATACAGGCATCATAAAATAAGGTGGTGTAAACAGGTTGTATCTCCCTTACATGTTTGGTAGACTCACTGGGGACGTCCTATGTATGGGCCTGGAACTTTCTTTGTGTGAAGGCTCTTAATTAAAATTTTGATTAGATTTTTTTACAGATACGAAACTGTACTGGTATTCTATTTCTTATTACACCTGTTTCAGCAAGTTGTGTTTTCCAGTGAAGTGTTCCATTTCATCATAGCCGTGGCACTCACTGGGAAAATGTTCGTAGTGTTTTATTATTTTCTATTTTAAAGTCTGTGAGACATGCGGTGATTTCCCCTTTTCTATTTTGATTTTGATATTTAGAATTTTCTTTCCTTTTTCCTTAACCAATCATATTATGGATTTAGAAATTTTATTCCTCTTTTTAAAGAACCAAGTTTTGTCAAATGCCTTTTCTGCATCAATTGAGATGATTATGTATTTTCTCCCCTTATGCAGGAATGTATATTGATTGATTTTCTTATGTTGAATCACCCTTTTATTTCAAGAATAAATGTCACTTGGTTATTATGTATAATCCTTTTAATTTTTTTTTAATCACTTTGCTAGTATTTTACCCAGGAGAATACTTTGCTAGTATTTTGCGGGAGAGGGGCAGAGAGAGAGAGGGAGAGAGAGAATCTCAAGCAGGCTCTGTGCTGTCCGTGAGTAGCCCGACAAGGCTTGATCTCAAGAACCACGAGATCATGACCTGAGCCGAAATCAAGAGTTGGACACTTAAGTGACTGAGCCAGCCAGGTGCTCTGCTGAGGATTTTTATCTATATTCATAAGGGGTGTTGGTCTGTGGTTTTCTTGTGGTGTCTTTTGTTCCCTTGGTATCTGGGTTATATTGACAGCATAGAATATGTTAGAGATTATGATATTCTAGTTTAAAAGAATATATATTTGTTTACTCAGATGACCAAAATATATCTCTCATATGTGTATTTGGTCTTCATTCCAAAGTTCCTGGCTCACAGCTTCCCACATCTTTGAAGTTTCTAGAGTCATAAGAGCAATGGGAACATCTTCTGTTATATTTAATTCCTTGTCCTCCATTCCTGAAACCACATCAGAGTCATAAAGATGAAATGGGTGTCTTGTTATTCATGACAAGCCCCTTTCTACAACTGGGTTTCTGTTAATGAGGCGGCTTGTGGAAAGCCCTGAAGGATGGAGGCTGGTTGCCAGGGGAACCAACCATGTGATTAGAGGGTTGGCATTTTTGGCCTCATCAACTGCCCTCCTCCAGAGAGGGAAGAGGGGAGGAAGATTGAGTTCAATCACCAAAGGTCAATGGTTTAATCAATTATGCCTATGTAATAAAGCCTCCAGAAAACCAAAATGACAGCGTTTGGAGAGCATCCTGGTTGGTAAATACATGGAGATTTGGGGAGAGTGGTGCCTGGAGAGGATATGGAAGTTCCATACACTTTTTCCATACTTAGCCCTGTGTATCTCTTTATCTGACTGTTGATTCATATCATTTAATATCCTTTGTAATAAACCAGTTATCTAGCAAGTAAATGGGATTCCTGAGTTCTGTGAGCCACTCTAGCAAATTAATTGAACCCAAGGAGAGGGTCGTGGGAACCTCTAATTTGTAGCCAATTGGTTAGAGGTGTAGGTGACAGCCAGGGCATGTGATTGGCATCCTGAGTTGAATGGCAATCTTGTGGGAGTGAGCACTTTACCTGTGGAATCTGGTGTTATCTCTAGGTAGTGTGAGAATTGAGTTGAATTGTAGGACACCCAGCTGGTATCTGAGAATTGCGTAGTGGCGTGGGGCAACTGCTCCCCCCCACCATGGTGGAACTGGGTTCAGAATACTATTAGAGGTGTTCTCTCCTCTTTCATTTTCTGGAAGAGTTTGAGAGGTATAGGTATTCATTTTTCTTTAAACGTTTAGCAGAATTCATCCATGAAGCCATCTGGTCCTGGACTTTTCTTTGTTGGGAGGTTTTGATTATTTACTCAATCTCTTTACTCAGTATAGGTTTACTTAGATTTCTATTTGTTGTTGAGTCAGTTTTGGTAATTTGTGTTTTTCTAAAAAATGTTTCCTTTCATCTAAGATATTTAATTTGTTGGCATACAGTTGTTCATAGTATTCTATTATAATCTCTTTTATTTCTGTAAAGTCAGTAGTAATGTATCCATTTTCATTTTTGGTTTTAGTTATTTGTATTTTCTTTTTTTCTTCATTTAGCTAAAGATTTGTTGATTTTATTGATCTTTTTAAAGAAGTATATTTTTTGTTGATTCTCTCTACTGCTTTTCTTTTCTTTTTAATGTTTATTTATTTTAGAGACAGAAAGACAGAGCACAAGTGGGGGAGGGGCAGAGAGAGCCCGAGATGGTATCTGAAGCAGGCTGCACGCTCTGAGCTGTCAGCACAGAGCCTGATGTGGGGCTCGAACCCACAAACCATGAGATCAGGACCTGAGCTGAAGTTGGACGCTCAACCAACTGAGCCATCCAGGCGCCCCATCTCTCTACTGCTTTTCTATCTACTATTTCATTAATTTCTGTTGTAATCTTTCTTACTTCCTTCTTGCTGCTAGTTTAGGGTGTAGTTTTCTCTTTTGCTCAGGTTCTTCAAGGTGTAGAGTTAGGTTGTTGATTTGAGATTTTTCTTCTCCACATAACCTTTCCACACACATTCACCTGGTCTTCCCCAACATCAACGTTTCACACACCAGTATGATGTATTTGTTATAATCAATGAACCAACATTACACACATCATTATCAACCCAAGTCCATAATTTACATTAGAGTTCAAACCTCTTGTTGAATAGTCTGTGGGTCTTGACAAATGTATATCAAAATGAATCCATTAGCACAGTATCATATAAAATAATTTTACAGCCCTGAAAATCCCTTGTACTCCTCCTATTCAACCTTCCCTCCCTCCTCCAACATCCCTGGCAACCACTGATAGTTTTACTATCTCCATAGTTTTGCCTTTTCCAGAATGTTTTTTATTGTTGTTATTTGATTACTGCCTCACTGGTGTTTAATTATTTTGCAATCTGCCATATTGATTCTTGTCTTGTTCTCTTTTGTGGTATATTTTTAAGACAGTTTCTTAATAGTTGTTACCATGGAGATTATAGTTGACATCTTAAATTTATAACAATCTAGTTTGGACTGATACCACGTTAACTTCAATAGCACAAAAAAAATCTTTGTTCCTATACACATCTACCCCTATCCTTGTTGTGTCATCAAAAATGACATCTTTCTACATTGTGTGTCCATTAACATATATTGATAATTACTGTTTTATGCATTTGTCTTTTAAATAACATAGGATATAAAAAGAAGTGTTGAAAATCAAAAATAGAACAATGCTGGGTTTTATATGTACCTATGTAGTTACCTTTACCAGATTTTATTTCTTTTTAAGGTTTTGAGTTCCTGCCTAATAACTTTTCGTTGCAGACTAAAGAATTCTCTTCGGCATTTCATATAGGACAGGTGTACTAATAACAAACTCCCTCAGCTTTTGTTTATCTTGGAACATCTTAATTTGTCATCTGGTTTTTGAAAGATAGTTTTGCTGGATATAGGATTCTTGGTTGAGAGATTGCTTTTCTTTCTTCACTTTAAAAATGTCATCCCATTCCTTTCTGACTTCCATGGTTTCTGATGACAAATTGGCTATTAAGTTTGAGCATCCCTTATGCATGACAAATCATTCCTCCCTTGCTGTTCTCAAGATTTTCTCTAGCTTTTGACGGATTACAATGTGTTTCAATGTGAAACTGTCTGTGTTTATCCTTTTGGAATTTGTCAAGCTTCTGAGATCTACAGATTTGTACCTTTAATCAATTTGGGGAGGTTTTGGCCATTATGTCTTCAAATGTTCTTTCTGCCCGTTTCTTTCTCTTCTTTTTCTAGGACTTCCATTACTTGGTACACTTGGTGGTGTCTGACTGGTCCCTTAGCCTCTGTTCATTTTTCTTTCTTCTTTCTCCTCCTTCTCTTTCTTCTTCCTCTTCTTCTTCTTTCTGTTCATCATATTTGATTATTTCAATTGACCTATCTTCCAGTTCTCTGATTCTTTCTTGTGCCTGTTCAAACCTACAATTCAAAGCTTCCAGTAAGGTTTCTTTTTATTGTATTTTTCAGTTCCATAACTACTTTTTGGTTCTTCTTTGTAATTTCTATCTCTTTATTGATAAATCTCTGCTCACATATCATTCTTCTGTTTTTTGTTTGTTTGTTTTGTTTTTAGCTACTTCAGAATACTTAAGACAGTTGATTTAAAGGTTCCCCCCCCCCAGTAAGTCAAATGTCTGTGCTTCCTCAGAAACAGTTTCTATTAATTTCTGCTCTGACTGGCCACATTTCTTGTTTCTTCACATATTCCATATTTTTTGTTGAAAACTGAACAGTTGCATATTATAATGTGGTAACTCTAAAAATCATATTACTCCCCCTTTTCATGTTTTTTTTTTTTTAAATTTTACTTGCTGTGGGCTGTAGCTGTTGGTTTAGTGATTTTTCTTAATTGTTTTCGTGAAGTCTATAATTTTTCATGTGTTGTGTTTGAAATCTCTGCTCTGTTGGCTAGTGTTCAGTTAGTGTTTTGACAGAGATTTCCTTGTACAACAGGACAGGAGTAGAGAGAGAATATTTCTTCCAGTCTTTTCAGATTGGCTCTACGCAAGGGCACCCTTTCAATGCTTAGCCAGGCCATTAAAAGGTAGTGATTGCATGGGATCTTCTCTAGAATGCGTCCTGCCCTGGCCATGCACATAGCTTTCTAAATTCCCCAGTATCCATAGGCCTTTTTGAATGCCCTACCTTCCCCAAGAAACTCTCTTGTCGCTTTTCTTATTTTTGCAAGTTTTCTATGAGTTTGAACTTATTTCAAAATACATTTTTAAATGAAACCTAGATCTTGAGGTCAAAGAGCTCTGACTTCAAACCTAAGGCTCTGCTGCTTGCTGGCTGGCTGGTCTTTCATGAGTTATTTTCATTGGGCTTCAGTGCTCCTAACTGTAAACTGCAGATTATAATACCTATTTGGCTGAATTGTAAGCTTTAAGAGTAACATTTGCTTTGCACAGAGTGGGTCCTTAATAAATGGCAACTATTATTATCGCTGTTCATCACACCAGGCTTGTGTTCAGTGAAAATTTAGCCTGTTGCTAGATGTGGCACAAGGGCCAAAGATTGCCCATAACTTCAAAATATGATAATTCCGAATCTTACTTTTTTTTACTCACGCCAGATAATGAAAATACACTATAATTTCTTTGGCTTTTAACATTTTACAAAACTGGAATGAAGGCAAACTAGGACATAGGTTTAGAGATAAATTTGCATGCGTTCCTGGAAAATCTCTATTGTAACAGGAAGGCTCCCTTCAATACCGTGGAAACTAACCAAAGTTAAGAAACCTAGAGCAAGAATAATTGCTGATTTAAAAAGAAATTGCCATTAAAAAGATGTAGCATACCTTAAGATTAAGTGCATTTCTTCCATGTATTTGACAGTTAATTATGGCTAGGTTGGTCATGGCTATTATTGTTTCATATCGTGTTGCATTAATAGTCTTAAAACCTTCACCCCGTATCACATGTGATTCCTCTCTTTTTATAGGTTTAATGTTAACGATACCTAAATAAACAGGAGAAAAAAATGAGACTTAAATGTGTTAGCACTTAGAATGAAAGTTAAGAGGTATTTATATTACGGTCACAGTGAATCATGGTAAGTAGGTTAGCTGTGTACATCCTCTGGGAGAGAGTGCTCTGAGCCTTTACTAACCTAGTCCCACTGGTTCTATTTGCTAAACTGGGCTTTGGGGTGTGTGTGTGTGTGTGTGTGTGTGCGTGTGCGTGTGTGTCTGTGTTTCAAATATTAGCTGGCACCTTTGTCTTTCCAAAGGAAAACCATAAGCTCATAGATTTCTCTCCAGATAACTTAGATTCTATCAATCTCAGTCTTTTTGTGTTATGTGTACAAATATTTTCAAAACTTTTACTACGAATTACATAAGCAACTTCTTGCTTCACAAAACTAGTAAAGGACATCACATAATCGTAAGTCAGATAGAGATCACCTCGCAAGGGACACCCTCGCTTTGTTTCAAGGGCCTTATATAATTCGGCTTTCTTGTCTCCGTTTGGAGACCCCACACAAGAAAAGAAAAAAAAATCCAAACAACTTAGAAGTTAGTCAAACAGAGAGCATCTAAATTTACTTCCTCATGACCCTTGTGGGTTTCACCTTCAGAAACGGCCTATTCAAGTATAAACCCAAATGCAGCAGGAAAATATTTTGTGACCTCGGAACATATATTTTACATTCACGGCCATTCTTGCTGTATTATTTGCAGCAACATATTTTACAGTCTCGGAAAGCCTTAGGCCATGGCTTCAGTGAAAGGAAATCATGCATCCTAGACCAAAGAAAGCAACGTTCAGTTTCTAGCTGCCAAAATAGGGCCTGTGTGCCCATCTCAGGTCAATAGATGTGAAAGGTAACTGCAGCATCAAGAGAGATGTATGATATGATAGAGAGAGTCGTTGTCTTGGGAGAGAGAGTGGATCAAGAAGGAAAAGAGAGTGAGTTAAGACCTAGGTCTGTGTGCTCCTCCCAGCCCACCCATCCCCATGGACTAGGCCCAAGCATTGGTTTTGGAATGGAAATGGGAATTCAGGTGGAGAAAAAAATAGAAATGCCCTGATGGATCCCTGAAGGCTCTGGAAGCTTTCAAAGAGGGGACCGCCAGAGTGGGACAAACTCAACAAATCAGAAATGGCAGCATGATTTGTTTCGGCTGATGACCTGGGAAAAAGAGAAAGTCCTATCGTTGGAGCCTTCTGTGTTTAATCATTAACCGAATCATTCCTTGGTTATTTTTTCTGCTCTAGAATTTTATTTGACTCCTATTTTTAAAAACAAAACTTCTAGTTCTCTGGTAAAATTCTCTAACTCATTCTTTCCTTTCTTAAACTCAGTCATCAAAATTATTTTTAAAATCCCTCTTTGAAAACTTTGGTATCTGATTCTATGTCTGTTTCTATTGCCTTTTATCTTTCTACAGATCTTCAGACATTTTATCCTGTTTTTATAGGATGACTTGTGATTTTTTAATTTAATGCTGGATATTGTGGATGAAAATTTTAAAGGGTCCAGATAACGCCGTGTCTCTCCAACAAGTGTTAAATTTTCTTTGATTGAAAGAAAAGTGGAAAAAGTATCACTTTGATTCATTAGGGACTGGTTTTGAGCTTGGCTAGGGATAACCTATTTTAGTTTTGTACTTTTTTCTAAAACATCATCCTTATTTCTAAGGCATGGGTCCTCTGGGTCTTCAACTAAAAGCCCCATGTGTTTACAAGGCCCCTGCATCTTGGCAGAGCTTTAACTTCAATAACTGTCTCCCATGCATGCTCACTTCTCGTAGCTTCTCTGCTGATGTTTTTTGCTGTGTTTCTTAGAGTATTGTCCTGCACATGCACAGCTTAGAAATCAGCAGATATGGGGACTCCTGGGGGGCTCTGTCGGTTAAGCATCCGGCTTCGGCTCGGGTCATGATCTCACGGTTCATGAGTTCAAGCACCGTGTCGGCTCTGTGCTGACAGCTCAGAGCCTGGAGTGTGTTTCAGATTCTGTATGTCTCTCTCTCTCTCTCCGCCCCTCCCCTGCTCACGCTTTGTGTCTCTCTCTCCCTCTCTCTCAAAAATAAACATTAGAAAAAAAAGATGATTTTTCATTTGTTTTTTCTAGGTAACTAAAGTTAAAGCACTTAGAACAGTGCCTGGCACATGGAAAGTAGTTACCTTTCATTGTTGCATGTTTATTTCACCTACCCAGATTAAGAATGCTCCAGCTTTTATGCTCCCAGCATCAGTACAAACTTTGACTTATAGTCAATACGTCAAACATAGTTGCTGAGCAAATGGCTTAAAGAGCTGAAAATGAGGTGAGACATATGTGTGAACCCCACCCACATACACCAACACAAAATCATGAATACTTCTGTAGAGAGATAAACTTATGTACAGTTTTTTTAAAGAATGAAATACGCCTAGCGTTTACCTTCTGTCAGGTTTGACACACTTTGCCTCGACGTGCTTTCCACATTGTCGGATTCTGTTACTTGAGTTTCTAGAAAAAAGAAAAAAAATGAAACAACTTTTTGGATACTTGTGAACACTCATGTTCAGGGTGTTATGATTTCATTATAATTGTTCATCTTTTAATGAATTTGGATTGTCCACGGAACCGTGCCCGTGAAGGGCTCCGTCCACACCGGCATTCTGCTTCTAGAGTTCATCTTGATCGCCTTCTGAATGACTGTTCATTCCCACTCCTCTTTTATGTTGACTTTTCTGATCCTTTGGGCTTCCTCATCTGGTTCCCACTACCACCATCTGGGCAGAGCACCCAGTTTGACCTTGGCAGACCCTCAAGGTCAATACTTCTGTTACCTCTTTCTGGATCGTATATTGAACGTATGCATAGGCAGAAAGTGATCCCGCCATCCCAACCTGCAAACCCAAGGGGAAAGCAGCCTTTGCTCATGTGCCTTCTCTCCCCTTTGGTCCACTTGACCCCGTTATTACAAAGCATGCATTATTTGTGATAGGAGAAAATGCAAATAATCCAAATGCCCATTTTGAACATGTATCATTTTGAACACGGATTTACCTAACAAAGACTGTCTTCGAGGTTTTCTTGGCAAAATTGGTGTTGGTAGGGCGATGGGACCTGGAAAATTACTAATAGTTAGTACCACCGCAGTATTTTGCTTTAAACGTTCAGACCACTGTCTTTCTGTTTTAACAGGCACACTTCTTGGTAGAGGGCTTGGCCCTGTTTCACTTAAATCTATCAGAGCCTGCTTAAAAATAAAGGTTTTCTTCTTTGATAAAGGTGGATACTCAGAGAGAACTTCCTTGGGTTTGAGAGTAATAACTGGGGAAGGTGCACTTGCAGGTCTGGAGAACTCTGAGGAGAGAATCAGAATGTCTTTGAACATGTTATCAACATAAATATTTTTTCTTTTTGACACTTCTCGTTTTGATTTTCTTGAAGTTTCCGTTTGGCTTGTTTCTTTCCCAAAAACTCGACTTGAGGCTGAATGACAGCTTGGAAAAAATATGCAACCAGTAGCAGTGTCTGGAATGTGCCAATAGACCCTGTTAAAATGTTTTCTTGGTATTGAAATAGTCGTCACTCTTTCTTGTACATGATGATCAAGAGAGAGATTTTGGATACTGATAGGGGTTTGTGATCGATCTCTTGAAACATCAGGAAAACTAGTTTTCTTTCTTTCAGTTGAAGTGGTTTCTTCTGGAGTGAATGTCACACGTTTTGGCTTAGCTTTACCAGTCTTGGCTAAACCAGAAAAAAAAAAAAAAAGGGCACAATTAGTTTATATTTATCAAGGTACCAGGGACAAAATTTAATGTCTTAAAGTTCATACTCACCCCTCTTTCACCTTCTAAAAATTTCTGCATATACCTGCTCAGCTATGAGGACTTTTGTTTAACTGACTGGGGTAAAGTTTGAGTAATCAAATGGAAACGAGAAAAGACTAAATTGTATTAGATTTAGAAAGGGTAGGGGGAGACTCTTGGAAGAACAGAATTGAGAAGAAAGGGTATAAAGGTAATTTTTGGACCAGTTGCTACTAAAACTGGAAATAAAATGGGTAAAAATTATTTGGATGAAGTTTTGTTATTTATCATTTCTCGTTATCTCTTCCTCATTGAAACTTCCTTGAGCAAAGACTCACAATTCTTTTCAACGCCAAATGTCAGACCAATGTGTCTTTTGAAACGATAACATCCTGATGCTGGGTACAAAATACTACAAGTTCAGTTAGGTTAAAAGGTAAATGTTCTTTTCTCTCCTAGGTCCAGAAAACATACAATGGTTCTTCGGTACCTCACCACACCAAATATACTTTCTCTTTCCTATGGGACAGAATGTCAAATGACTCTTTTCCATTGTCTCAGTTGAGTACTAAATGATGAAGACTTCTACCTTCTAAAGAAAAGATAATAGATTCTTTAAGGCAAGGCTTGCAAAGAGATGCCAAAACAAATCCAGGTCTCATCCATCTGCTGTCTACGCATAAGAGATGGCTGGAGTCTGACCTGAGTTCAGAGAGAGGAATTCTCCTGGATAGAGTTATTGGAGTGCTATGTGTTTCCTCAATCTTCCCCTCCTTGTGGTGGGTGGAAGAGGATGATTTTTCCCCAACCTCAAACAATGTGACCAGAATTCTCAGAGAACCATTTAGAGAGCAGGAATGTATGCCAGGAGGAGAAAATAACATATCATTCCTCTACTCACCTCCCCGGCTAATACTTACAGAGTAGCAAAAAGGGATCAGCCCACCCAGTCCTGGGTTCCAATTGGAGCAAGGCAAGAGAATCCTTGAAACTCCTTGACCTGTATCTCCTGGCATTTCAGGGGTAGGTACAGAGACTGATGCTTAGTTTTTAACTCCTTAACTCTTCTCCATCCCTAGCCCCACTTATAGAGGAGCAGAAACCATAAGTTGGGGGAAAGAAGTAAAGAACCAGGTGGAAGACCTTGTCATGCCCCTGTCTCCTCTGGCGTGTCTAAAAATTTGCATACCTAGTCTGAGCTGGGGGAAGGGGCAGGCCAGATAAAAGTAATGATTCAGATTGAAATATTCGTTTCATATCTGAAAAGGAAACAAGGCTAAGAGGTGAAGTTGACTAGAAAAGCCTTGGAGGAAAGCTGTGTGTCCCAGGTGAGTTTGAAGGGCACTAGTGGGAGAATAAGAACGTTTGCTTCCTGCTGGTATGGAACTAATAAAAACTAGCTCATTCAAGAAAAATGGTCACACCATCATTCAACTTTTTTCCCTCTCTCCCATATTAAAACAAAACATAATAACGCAAGCAAAATCCTCAACAAACTCCAGAACTCCTTCCAACCACCACAGTCTCACCATATTTATCCTTCTGGAGTGTGAAGTAACTGACCCTCAGTTTGATGTCTTCTCCTCTCTGTTCTGTTTGTTGTTTCACTTTATTTAGTCTGTAACTTTCAATTAATAGTCTTTCTTTTTAGAACAATTTTAGATATGAAAATACTTGAGCAAGAATACAATTCTTATATATTCCCCCCTACAATTTTATCTATTATTAACATCCTGATTGGTGAGTACATTTATTATAATTGATGAACCAATGTTGACATACAATTAATTCAAGTCCATACTTGACATTAGAGCTCATTCTCTGTGTTGTCCATTTCCATAGATTTGGACAAATGTGTAATGCCATGCATCCGCTATTACAGTATCATAAACAATAATTTTACCACCTTAAAATTCCCCTGTGCTTCACCTGTTCAACACTTCTCTCTCTGAACAAATTTCTGGCAACCCCTGATTTTTTAGTTTTTATCGTGTTATTGTTTTGCCTTTTCCAAAATACTACAGTGGTTGGAATCATGCAGTATGTAGCCTTGAATAAATAAGAGGGGTTTGTTTTGCTCTTCTCCAGAATTTGGTGGTGTCAGTGTTGTGTATTTTAACTATTCTAAGAGGTATGCAGTGGTATCTCATTGTTGGTTTAATTTGCAGTCTCTAATGACAAATGCAAATATTAAGCATTTTTTATCTTTTTTTCTTAAATCTCTTTCTTTTTTTGGCGTTAAGCATTTTTTCTTAAAAAACTTTTTTTAAACATTTTTATTCATTTTTGAGAGACAGAGAGAGACAGAACACTAGCGGGTTAAGGGCAGAGAGAGAGGGAGACACAGAATCTGAAGCAGACTCCAGGCTCTGAGCTGTCATCACAGAGCCTGACGCAGGGCTCGAACCCAAGAACTGCGAGATCATGACCTGAGCCTTAGTTGGACACTCAACCGACCGAGCCACCCAGGCGCCCCCCTCCTTTTTTAAAAAAAAAAATTTTTTTAAAGTTTAGTGTTAAGCATTTTTTCCTATGCTTATTTGCTTTCTGGATATCTTCAGTGAAGTGACATTTCAGATATTTAGCTCACTTTTATTATTATTATTATTATTATTATTATTATTGTTATTATTTATTATTATTATTATTATTTTAGAGAGAGAGTGTGTGTGTGCACACAAGCAGGGGAGAGGGGCAGAGGAAGAAAGAATCCCAAGCAGGCTTCACACTCAGTGGGGCTCCATCCCAAGAACCCAGGATCATGACCTGAGCTGAGATCAAGAGTCACTCAACCGACTGAGCCACCCAGGTGCCCCTAGACCACCTTTTAATTAGGTTCTTTTCTTATTTAAGAGATCATTGATTTGGGATAGAAAGTCCTTTATCAGATACGTGTTTTGTAAATATTTTCTGCCAGTGTGTGGCTTGTCTTCTTATTCTTTTAACAATGTCTTTCACAGAGTAGAAGTTTTTAATTTTAATGAAGTTCAACTTACCAATTTTTTATTTCATGAGTTGTTCGTTTTTTTTATTGTATTGTTTTATTTCTATTTAATGCATAAAGGAATGTTCCAAAAGAAACAGATGGAAATATAAACCTGATAAATCTTCAATTTCATGGACTGTTCCTTTGGTGTCATATCTAAAAAGTCATTGCCAAATCCATGGTCACCTAGACTTTCTCCTGTGTTATATTCTAGACGTTTTAGTGTTTTGCATTTGTACATTTAGGTCTATGCTTCTTTTGTGTTTATTTTTGTGAAAGGTATAAGGTCTGGTCTAGATTTTTTTTTTTTTTTTTTTTTTTTTTTTTTTTTTTTTTTTTTTTTTTTTTTTTTTTTTTTTTTTTTGCGTGTTGGTACCTAGTTAATTTGTTCCAGGACCATTCACTGAAAAGACTATACCTTTGTTCTTTGCTCTTTTGTCAAAGATCAGTTGACTATATTTGTGTATATCTACTTCTTGGCTCTCTGTTTTCATCCATTGATCTATTTGTCCTTTATTTTGCCAATACAACACTGTATTACTTTAAAGTCTTGAAATTGAGTAGTGACAATTTTACTTCTTTCCTCTTCTTCAGTATTGTATTTGGTATTGTGTTTTTCCTTTACATATAAACTTTAGAATAATTTTGTCAATACACACTAAATAACTTGCTGGTATTTTGGCTGAGATTTCTTTGAATCTGTAGATCAAGTTTAACAATATTGAATCTTCCTATTCATGAAGATGAAATACCTTTCCATTTATTTATATATTTTTTTATTTATCATAATTTGGTAGTTTTATGCATATAAATCCTATAATACATTATTAGCTTTATGCCTAAATTAATTCTAGTGTGTTTAAAAAAATTTTTTTTAGTGTTTTTATTTATTTTTGAGACAGAGAGAGACAGAGCATGAGCAGGGGAGAGGCAGAGAGAGGAAGACACAGAATCTGAAGCAGGCTCCAGACTCTGAGCTGCCAGCATAGAGCCCGACGCGAGGCTCAAACTCACGGAGTGTGAGATCATGACCTGAGCCGGAGTCGGATGCTTAACCAACTGAGCCACCCAGGCGCCCCAATTGTAGTGTGTTTTGATACTAAAGTAAGTTGTAGTGTTTTGAATTTCACATTCTAACTGTTGCTGGTATATAGGAAAGCAATTGATTTAGGTATATTAATCTTGTATCTTGTAACATTGTTATAACTGTTTTTTATTTCCAAGAGTTCTTTTGTTGATTCTTTGGGATTTTCTACATAGAATAAAGATAGTTTTATTTCTTTCTTCTCAACTTGTATGGCTTTTATTTCATTTTCTTGTCCTATTGCACTAGCTAGGATTTTTTAGTACAATTGCTGAATAGCAGTGGTGAGAGGGGACATCCTTTGTCATTTTAGGGGGAAAGCATCTAGTTTCTCACCATTAAAGATGTTGTTAGCTGTGGGATTTGGGGTAGATCTTCTTTATCAAGTTGAGAAAGTTCTCATCTATTCTTAGTTTGCTGAGAATTACTTCATGAAGGCATGCTGGATTTTGACAGATGGATTTTCTATATCTACTGATGTGATCATGTGATTTTTCTTCTTTAGGCTATTTATATGATGGGTGACATTAACTGATTTTTGAGTGTTGAACCAGTCTTGCATATCTAGAATAAATTCCACTTGGTCATGATGTGTAATTATTTTTATACATTGTTGAATTCAATTTGCTAAAATTTTGTGGAGGATTTTGGCACTTATGTTCATGGGTGATATTTATATGTAGTTTTCTTGTAAGTTCTTTGTCCGGTGTTGGTATTAGGGTATACTGCTCTCACCGAATAATTTAGGAAGTGTTCTGTCTGCGTCTATCTTCTGGAATAGTTTGTAGAGAATGGATATCATTTACTCTTTAAATGTTTGGTAGAATTCACCAGTGACTCTATCTGGGCCTGGTGCTTTCTATTTTGCGAAGTTATTAATTACTGATTCAATTTCTTAAACTAGGCCTATACAAGCCTATAAAGTAATAAATTATTTATAAATATAAACATTATTTATAGCAGATTATATATTTTACTTTGTGTGAGTTTTGGTAGTTTATGTCTTCGAAAGAATCTGTCCCTTTTATCTGTTACCAAATGTATGGACCTAGAGTTGTTCATAATATTTCTTTATCTTTTTTTTTTTAATGTCCATAGACTCAGAAGCAATGAACCCTCTTTCATCTCTGATAGCAGTAATTTATTTCTTCTCTCTTTTTTCTTAGATAGCCTTGTTAGAGTTTTATCAATTTTATTAATCTTTCCATAGAACTAGCTTTTGGTTTTGTTGATTTTCTCAACTGATTTTCTTTTTTCAACTTAATTTCTGCTCTAATTATTATTTATTTTCTTCTGCTTGCACTAGGTTTATATTCTTCTCCTTTTTCTAGTTTCCTAAAGTAAAAGTTTAAAGTATTTGTTTTAGATTAATCTTCTTTTTCTAAAATATGCATTCAAGGTTCTACATACCTTTTAAGCCCTATTGTTTTACACTGCTTATTTTGATAGGCTGTAATTTTATTTCCATTTAGTTAAAAAACATTGTAAAATATCTCTGTGACTTCTCTGACCCATGTGCTATTTAAGTGTGTTGTTTAATCTCCAAATATTTTTGGATTTCCACATATCTTTCTGTTACTGATTTTTAGTTTAATTCCATTGTGTTCTGAGAACAAACACTGTATAATATCTGTGTTTTTCTTTTTTTTAAGTGTGTTTTATGGCCCAGAATGTGGTCTAGCTTCATGAGTGTCTTATGTGAGGGAGAAGAATATTTTCTGCTGTGGTTGGATGAAGTGCTCTATAAATGTCAATTAGATCCTGTCAATTGTTGGTACTATTTGGTTCAACTATATCCTTACTAATTTTCTGCCTGCTAGATCTGTTAATTACTGATAAGGGGTGTGGAACTCTCCAACTATAACAATGGATTTATCTATTTCTCCTAACAACTCTAGCAGTTTTTGCCTGAAATATTCTGCCTCTCTCTCCTTTAGGTGCCTGTCAGTTAAAGACTGTTGTCTTTTTAAAGAATTGACTCCTTTATAAGTAAATATTGCTCCTATTTTCCCCTAATAACTTTTCTTGTTCTGAAATCTGCTCTGTCTGAAATTAATATAGCTACTATATATTTTTTTGATTAGTGTTAGTGTGGTATGTCTTTCTCTACACCTTTACTTTTAACCTCTCTGTGTTTTTATATTTCAAGTAAGTTTCTTGTAGGGGTGCCTGGGTGGCTCATTTGGTTAAGTGTCTGACTCTTGGTTTTGACTCAGTTCATGATCTCATGGTTTGTGAGTCTGAGCCCCAAGTCAGACTCTGCACTGAGAGCATGGAGCCTGCTTCGAATTCTCTCTCTCTCTCTCTCTCTCTCTCTGCCCCTCGCCCACTTGCATGCTTTCTCTCTCTCTCTCAAAATAAACAAATAATTTATTAAAAAGTGAGTCTCTCATAGACAACATATAGTTGGGTCTTGTTTTTTATCTGCTATAACAGTTTGTTTTATTTTTATTTATTTATTTATTTATTTATTTGATGTATTTATGTATTTTATTTATTTATATAATTTATTGTCAAGTTGGCTAACATACAGGGTATACAGCGTGCTTTTGGTTTTGGGAGTAGATTCCCGTGATTCATCACTCACATACAACACCCAGTGCTCATCCCAACAAGTGCCCTCCTCAGTGCCCATCACCCATCTTCCCCGCTGCCCCATTCCCCCTTCAACCCTCAGTTTGTTCTCTGTATTTAAGAGTCTCCTCTGGTTTGCCTCTCTCTCTATAATAGTTTGTTTTGTTATATGTAAAATATGTATGCTGCACTGCTGCTTTTTTTTTTAATATTCCCTTCCTTTTTTTCTTTTTCTGGTTTTAGTTGAGCATTTTACAAGCATTCAGTTTCTCTCCTTCAGTGTCTCAGCTTGTCTCCTCTCTTAGCATATCAATTATGCTTCTTTTATAAAAAATGTTAAGTGGTTTCCCTGAAGTTGATAGTATACATTTACAGTTAACCTAAGTCTATTTTCTTTTTTTTAATTGGCATGTCCTTTATTGATTGGAATCAAAACTGTAAATTACAACTATCTTGCTATGCAAAAAACCAAGACAACTCAAGTCTGATGTGCAGCATTTAGAAAGGATATTTAATTCATAATAAAAAGTTTCTTTTATTATCCTTTCAATAATCGAAGTCTACTTTTTCTTTTTTTTTAACTTTAATTCCAGTCATTTAACCTACAGTGTTATAATAGTTTCAGGTGTGCAATGTAGTAATTCAACACTTCCATACCCTAAGTCTGCTTTCAAATAATAGGATGCCACTTAACAGGTATTGTGGGTGTCTTTTAACAGAGTATTCCCAAGACCTCTCTCCCATTCTTTATAGTGTTGCTGCCTTTCATTTCATTTATCCTTATGCTGTAATCACCTAATACACTGTGGCTATTATTCATTCAAATAGTTATTAGATCAAGGAAGAATAAGAAAAATAAATTTTTATTTCACTCCAGTTTTCCTTCTCTGATACTCCTCCTTTCTTTAGGTAGATCTGAGTTTTGGATCAATATCATTTTTCTTTTTTTTTTTTTTTTTTTT